CTTCTTCTTCTTCTTCTTCTTCTTCTTCTTCTTCTTCTTCTTCTTCTCTTCCTCCTCCTCCTCCTCCTCCTCCTCCTCCTCCTCCTCCTCCTCCTCCTTCTTCTTCTCCTAAAATTGCTACTGAATTATTATAGACTATGTGCAACCTACTGAGTCTAATTAGCAATGCCTATATATACTGTCTTTAGGATTGTCACATCAGGAGCCCATTTCCGACATTATGTTCTTACATGCATTTGGTGCTATTAGTAATTCTTATGATATACATGTTGGATATACCCTGGGTTAAACAGAATGAAATGGTTTCTTTGATTCAGTGTTGCTAAGGGACTAATGGAGATTAATGAAAGGGCTTTGAGAGTTCCCATGAATAAAGTATAGTCAGCAGGATTTCCTATTTTTCCCTACGGTCCCTTTTTCAGGAACCGTCTGTGTTGGTTTGAATGAAAATGGTCCCCATAGGTCCATTGGGAGTGGCAATATTAGGAGATGTGGCTTTGTTGGAGGAGGTGTGTCACTAGGAGGTGGGCTTTGATGTCTCAGAAGCTTATAGCAGGCTTAGTGGTTCACTATCTCTTCCTGCTGCTTGTGGATTCAGATGTAGAACTCTAAGCTTCTTCTTCAGCACCATGTCTGCCTTCCTGCCACCATGCTTCCTGCCATGATGATAATGAACTAAACCTCTGAACTGTAAGCCAGTCCCAATGAAATGTTTTCCTTTATAAGAGTTGCTGTGGTCATAGTGTCTCCTCACAGCGATAGAAACCCTAAGACACCATCTTTGAGGCTAACGATTCACTCATTTATTCAGTTCCTTAATCTCTCATATGAAGGGTGACTTGAAAATACCCTTAAGAACTTTGTAGTACAAAATAACGAATTGACTGGTTCCCAGTGACTGTCAGGTCTATCTTCTCACAACACACAAGCAGACCATAGCTCCTCCAACCTCTGTGTTGACTGCTGCTCATCACTCTCTCATCACTCTAGCACCTGTGTTAACTCATTTTCCTCTCTGAGTAGGCACATGCAGAAAGGTGTCAAAAGATATTTCTTCCCTCTTGTTTAGTGGGCTTTCTTCATCCTGCCTCACACACTCTGCGGCCTTCCGGTGCTTCCTTACTCTCCCCACTGGAACATACGAGTTTTAGTGCATTAGCCAAAAGGCAGTGTTACTGGCTCAGCATGTGGAATGTGAGTTACTTCTAACAAGGCGGGAGCTGGGCCCATGTGTGGGGGTGAAAAGACTGCAGCTGAGCACAGCAGTGCCAAGCATAAAGCTTCCCTTTCACTTGGACTTCATTTGACCTATGGATAAACAAAGACTTGCTATTTCTGGAAATCCTAGTCTTTCAACTTCTTTGAATTTCTTTTGCAAACTTCAAAATGCACATCTTTATGGAACTTAAGGTTCTGTAGGCTCGGTCTTAATGTTCCTGTGTTTCTCGTCGGTTTTTCCTTTACTCTGTTTATATGCCACAAAGTCCTAGCTGTCAGAAATATTGCCTTTTAATCAACAATGTATGGCATTAAAAACAACATTAAAGTCACAAAGTGAGTAGAATATGCAGCATCATCAATAATTATAACCCTTTCATGAAGATTCATGATTCACCCTCTTCAATCATCAGGTTATATCCCAGAGAACTTACAGTGTTTAGCAGTAGATAAAATAAAAGTATTTCAGCCCTATGCATGCCTGGTACCTATGGAAAGCAGAAGAAGGTATTGAAACTGGACTTGATGGCAGTTGTGAGCTGCCATGTGGGTTCTGAGAATCAAACCCAGAGCTTCTGTAAAAGTAGCCAGTGCTCCTAACCTCAGAGCCATCTCTCTGCCTCGCTGACCCCATTCTTCTGGAGTCTTGGATTAAAGGAAGTAAAATAAGTATATAAAGTACCTGCTGTGTTCCAAACATCATAACTGTATGTGTATCTGTTATTCATAGCTAGACGTGACAATATTAGATGTCGCCTTATTTTATAAGCACACAAACTGAGTAATACTCATTGGATAACTTGAGTGGTTTGCTTTCTGAACTAACGTCCACCAAGAATCTTTTATTCAAACCTAATTATCCCAGTACCATGATAGTGTCTAATGCTGGAAATATAAATAGGAATAGACAATCACACATAATTTCTGGCTATAACAGCTCATTTTTTAAGAACTTGCCTTTTTGTTTCTCGAGTGATTTTCTATCCACTTGGTCTTGCTTTAGTTACTATGCTTCTGGAGATTCCATTTTTTCATCATGAAATCCTCTTTGTTCATGTCACCAGTCATGAGTGAAGCAGTAAATTGTTTAAGTGAAAGTGGACATGCAGCAAACGTAATCATTAGGTATTGTCACAGATGAAGTTTTGAATGATAACGTCTACGATGCCATCAGGGTGATTGTAATCTACCTTCAACCATTTTTCAAGGTTTATTTTTATTTTGAATTATGTGCAGCTGCGTGTATATGCAAATGAGTATGTGCATGTAAGTGTAGGTACCTGAGGAGGCCAGAGGCATCTGATCCCTGAAGCTGGAGTTTTACAGATGGTGGTGAGTACTGGGTACTGGACTCAGGTCCTCTGGAAGAACAGCAAGAATTCTATAAACCACTGAGCCACAGCTCCAACCTCCTTGTTTTTTAAATGTCTACATCCCATGAATGTATGCTCAATTTATAGGTAGGGCAATATATGGTAAAAATAATTTTGGTTGAGCCAGATTTTTAAAGGTATTTCAAAACAGAGATGGGAAATGTGGGAAAATATCACACTGTCATCCACCAAGCTTTCATAATATTTCATTAAGAATGAAGGTAGCTGTAGTCAGGAATGAGAAGGAAGGGTTTTGAGGGCTAAAGCACACAAATGTACTGTTTTTTTGTCCACCCATTGAGCCACGATGCTCTGACAGAGAGATGTACAAATTTAGTATAGAACATCATCCTTTGAACACTGGGACTTATTTTGTTTTTAGTCCAGTGCAAATGCTGTAATCCAGGAAAATCTGATGACAATTTAAAATCAAAAAGAGCTCCTTGCAAAGCCATCTTTAAACCAAAATTCGTGTAGAGGGGCTAGAAAGATGGCTCCGTGGCTAAAAGCACATACTGCTTTTGCAGACCACTCAAGCTCAGTTTTCAGCAGCCAGGTCAGGTGACTCACAATGGCCCACAACTCCATCTCCACGGCCCCTGCCACCCTCCCCAGGTCTCCATGGGCAAGTGCACGCACATATGCACATACTCCCACCTAGACATACGCACACGTACACACACACAACCCCAACTCTCTTAAAAAATAAAACAAATCACTTAAAAAATAATGTTTACTTTAAAAGTCCTAACTCCCCCTAAGTTAAGCAGTGATAGCTTCTTTTTGTTTGTTTGTTTTGTTTTGTTTTTTCACTTCTTTATTGATGTGTATGATGACATATCTATCTATATGTCTGCGTGCCATGAGCATGCCTGATACCTGTAGAGCCAGACATGGGTATCAGATCCCCTGGAATTGGAATTACAGACATTTGTGAACCACCATGTGGGTGTTTGGAATTGAATCCAGGTCCTCTACAACAGCCACTGAGCCATCACTCCAGCCTCAGCAATAGCTTCTTTAGCATGTTTTATTTTGGAGAAAGTAGACATTTTAATTCGAAACCATTTGCTTTCACATTTCAAACACTTAAGGAAAAAAATATTGAGATCTATTGTCAGTGATTTTATTATTTATTTATCTATTTATTTATTTATGTCAAACTATATACTCTTAAAACTTTGTTCTGTTTCTTTCCAGCGGATGATACCGTGGTCGCCATTCCTTATGGAAGCAGACACATCCGCCTTGTTTTAAAAGGGCCAGATCATTTGTGTAAGTAGAGCCACTATTTTCCATGGGGGACTAGAAATTTTAACTTTCACTATTAAGTTTTGTTCCCAGAAAGGATTAAAGCACAAGAGAGCCTGTCTCTCCACCCCTACCCCCACAGTGTGACATGATAGTTTGAATGGCTGCCTGATGAGACGGAAGAGGTCATTGCAGCCATGATCTCCAGGCACAAGCCATTCAGGAAAATGCAAATACCCAGTGCCAGTGTGTCATTCATGGGCTATGCCTGTGGCTGAGTCACTAAGCTTTTGTGACCATTACCTCAATTCTGTCTTCTTTATAGTTGCTCTTACTTTTTTCTTTTCCCTCCTCTCTTTTCCTTGTCCTCCTTTTTTTTCACTTTTAAAAAATTTATTTAGATTTTTATAAATTACAGTTTATTCACTTTGTATCCCTGCTGTACCCCCCCCTCCCTCATCTCCTCCCAATCCCACCCTCCCTCTCTTATCTCCTCCCATACCCCTCCGCAAGTTCACTGATAGGGGAGGTCCTCCTCCCCTTCCCTCTGACCCTAGCTTATCAGGTCTCATCAGGACTGTCTGCATTGTCTTCCTTTGTGGCCTGGTAAGGCTGCTCCCCCCTCAGGGAACTATCTCTGATATGAACTCAGTGGCTGGCTCCTTTCCTCCTTCTAAAATTCATTTCTTCTCCATTCTTTTCCTTTTCCTTTCTTATTTTAAATCTTTACTTCATCAACCCACAAATACATAGAAGTAACAAACTGTGACATTTAAAACAAACATTTGCAGAATACTCAATTCTGTGAATCCATTCAGAGACCTCGTATCTTGAAGGTAAGTGATAGGAGTTTGGATAAAATGTTTTTTAGAAAGCGCAAGATAAAATGGTAGCTTCATCTATGTAGGGTTTGTCTAAGACAGTGGCTCTCAACCTCCTAATACAGCCTTTCTACAGTTCCTCATGTTGTGGTGACCCCCTCCCAACCATAATATTATTCCATTGCTACTTCGTAACTGTAGTTTTGCTACTGACATGAATCATAATATAAATATCTGATATGCAAGGTATCTGATATGTGACACCCCCCCCCAATAAAAAGGCCTGTACCCACACGTTGAGAACCACTGGAATAAGAACTGATCTTTAGTCCTTCCAAGGTAACAATACACAGCCACATCTTATGCCTTATGGTTCCGTGCTAGTTAGAGAGAGATCTGTACATTACAACCAGAAAATTATGGTCTGTAAACAAAGACAAAGGCTGGGGGTTATGTAACATTTCCTCTAAAGTTCACTTTCACTTAAAGGCTTTCTCTTCAGTTGATCCCTCAGCACTTCTGGTCCCCTTCACTCTGCTCTAAATTCCCACAGGCAGTTACGGTCTTCCGCCTCCTCTTCGACCCGCATGCCCAGGAAGACAGTTTAAGTAGCAGGGATCACTTTCTGGCAACTAGACTATAAAGATCATTATAATCAGATAAACAAGAGGAAGATAGATCGGAGCCTGTAAAAGTTACTGTATCCTACTAAGCCTCTCTAAAAACAAAAACAAGCCATTTAATCAAAGAGGTGAGGTTTAAAAGGTCATGTGAAGCAAGGAGTATGTGGGGCACAGTTTAGACAGAACAAGAAAACACTGATAAGTCATCCTTATATGGGCCTGAGTTCTTTTCTAATCCTGAACAGTCCCAGAAAGTCCAGTGTTCACATGTCAAGAGATAATATATGTGTACACTTTATACCATCCAAATGATTTGTTTATCCCCTTGAGAACAGGACACAGCTATATGCTGTTTAACAACCGCACTCCAAAATGGAGTTTGTGAGCAGTGGCGGAGACTGAAATAAAATAGGCAGGCTGAGATTGTCGTCACCACATGGGAAAATGACTAGACATTGCTGAAGAAATATTTAAAATAAAATCTTATATTTATTAATATGTTAATCTCCTGGACTTCCTAGTTTTATGATTGCAAAGGAGCTGATGAACTGGGGGTCTAGAGAGTTATTAAGGTGCTTGCTGTGCATGAACGAGGACCTGAGTAAAAAGCCAGGTAAGAAAGCAGTGTGGAAGTGTGTAAGAGCCCTGGCTGCTCTTCCAGAGGACCTGGGATCATTTCCCAGCATCCACATGGTGGACTGCAGCTGTCTGTAAGTCTAGTTTTATGGCATCTGACACCATCATACAGATATACATGCAGGCAAAACACCAATGCACATGAAATTTTTAAAAAGATAAGTGAAAATAGTAATAATAATTTAAAATTTTCAAAAAAGAAAAAGCAGTCGTTTCTGTAAGTCCAGCTCTGCAGGCAGAGACAGGCTGATCCCCCAAAACTCATTAGCCAGTCACCACAGCCCAAGAAGTGATCCTCAGGTTCAACGTGAGACTCTGTCTCAAGAAAATAAGGTGCAGAGAGATTGAGGAAAACACCCAGCTCTAACACCAACGTCTGTCCTCCATACATACATACACACACACACACACACACACACACACACACACACACGTACACATGTACATACACACACAGAGGCACCTACCTCCTTTCCTCCTTCCCTCCCTCTCTCCCTTTCTCCCCCACCTCTCTCCTTCTGTCTCTGTTTTTTTGTTGTTGTTGTTGTTTACATTATTATTATTATTATTATTATTATTATTATTATTATTATTATTATCTTGAGACAGACTTTCTCTGTGTGGCCTAGCTGTCCTGGAACTTGCTCTGTAAAGCAGGTTGGTCTCAAACTCAGTTCTGTCTGCCTCTACCTTCGGAGTGCTGGGATTAAAGGAATGTACCTCCACTGCCTGGCTGCACCAGCTCATCTTTATTTTGTTTGTTTGTTTGTTTGTTTGTTTGTTTGTTTTTGCTCTGTATCCCAGGCTGGCCTCGAAATCACATAGATCCCCCTGCCTCTGCCTCTTAAGTGCTGGGATTAATGGCATGTATCACCACCTGGCTGAATGGCTTATAATTTTCTTGTTGAAATATGAAGTTTTTGTATGTTCTGTTTGTATCAAATTTAGCAGTTACTTATTTGACAGCAGGTTGTCTCTCTTCTTTAATTAATTTATTTATTATGTATACAATGTCTGCATGTATGCCCTCACACCAGAAGAGGGCACCAGATCTCATTATAGATGGTTGTGAGCCACCATGTGGTTGCTGGGAATTGAACTCAGAATCTCTGGAAGAGCAGCCAGTGCTCTTAACCTCTGAGCCACCTCTCCAGCCCCAGCTCATCTTTAACCAGACAGATCTTGAGAAGGACAGCAGGGAAGTCTTTCAGTTCTGGTGCTCAGAACTAGCGTGCACACCCAGGGTTCGAGCATCTCCAGAGGCTTTATGTTTGTTTTTAAGCCAAAAGCCCACTCTGTAAAATAGAAGAGAGGAGCCATGCTTAAAGCTGAAGTGAGAGTCACAGAGCCTCATATATCTTTCTATGGAAGGACTCCTGACAGAAGCAATGGTTCTCATGCGATTTCTTGTAGAAATAATTTGCCTAAGTCCCTCTGGCTTTCTTCATATAGGCCACAATTAATCTAAATAACTTCTCAGTCACAACCTTGTCCTCTCTGTGATATATATCACAGCCTCATCACTATATGTACAATAACCACCATTCTTCCCAGCCCTCTTCCACACTTTCGATAGTTCCCCTCCTGTACCCAAATCCTCCTGCTTGTGCTTATATGAGATAATTCATACATAATCAATATATATTGTGACAGATTAATATATATCAATATATAATCACAATAATTTCATTTGCAAATATATGCATATATGATCACAATCATGTTCAGCACGCTATAATTCCCAACAACAAAAGACACCTCATTGACTGTGTTACTGAACAAATTCAGACTTGAATGTGCTAGGATCCATTTCTTTCTCCTTAAGCATTTATAAACATCTTATGTGGATAAAATTGATTATCAAAAGTCATTTTAAGAAGGGGGGGACTCAATGGATAGCACCTATTCTTTTTTTTAATTTTTTAATTTTTTTTTAAATATTAGTTAGAGTTTATTAACTTTGTATCCCAGCTGAATCCTACTCCCCCATTCCCTCCCAATTCCACCCTCCCTCCCTCATCTCCTCCATGCCCCTTTCCAAGTCCATTGATAGAGGAGGACCTCCTCCCTTTCATCTGACCCTGTTTTATCAGGTATTTTCAGGATTGGCTGCAAAGTCCTCCTCTGTGGCCTAGCAAGGCTGCTCCTCCCTCAGAGGGGGGTGGGATGGGGTGAAAGAGCTCGCCATTGAGTTCCTGTCAGAAATAGTCCCTGTTTCCCTCACTATGGGAAACCAATTGGTTACTGAGCTACCACAGGCCACATCCGAGCAGAGGTTCCAGGTTATATCCATACACAACATATGTGTAGTAAGCAACAGAAAGTGTAGAAGGATGTAGGTCGGCGCATGAACAGGAAGCTGCACAAATGCTGACGTAACACACGGATGTACCTAGACCTACCTCAGTAAGCAAAAATGAAACTGGGGATATTGCTGGGCTGAAGGCAAACAGGACAGAAATCAGGTAGATATGTATGAGACGTGGGTTAGCCGAAAGAGTGGGTTACAGCAAAGCGGGATGCTCAGATGAGGTCATTGGAAAGTCAAAGGGTATTTTGACAGGGAGCCACGGATTCTTGGATAGTGAGTTTTAAAATAATCGCAAATGCAACATAATCTTCGTATGACATAGGCATGTTTATGTATCTTATTTATATTACAGTTTCAACAGTGTCGGCTATCAAAAGAATAATGCTCCTCTATTGAGTAGCTCAAGGTTTAATTCATAAAATATGCTTGCATGTGCTCTGTGGTAGCCCCAGGCATACCCGCTTCTCCTCTTCTTGCCTTTAATTATATAGATCTAGAAACCAAGACGCTCCAGGGGACTAAAGGTGAAAACAGTCTGAGCTCTACAGGCACTTTTCTTGTGGACAATTCTACAGTGGACTTCCAGAAACATTCAGACAAAGAGATACTGAGGATGGCTGGGCCACTAACAGCAGATTTCATCATCAAGGTAAGGTTGTTTGGTTTCTTGATAAGAAGCTACACCAAAACAGATGGCACTTATAAGCTCTAAAGGAAATAGAGGATGGATGTAGGTAGGTAGATATATTGATGATAGAGAGATGTGATAGAAATAGATGATAGATGGATAGATAGATGATAGAGAGATAGATAGATGATGGATATTTAGATGATATATAATAGATGATAATGATATATAGATGATAGACAGGTGATAGAGATGATAAAAAGAGAGAAAGAGATAGATAATGATAGTTAGGTGATTGATAGATAATATATATAATCATTTGTTTCTCAAGAAATGTTTAATTCAAGAATTTTGTTAGCTGCATCTTGTATTTCCTAAGAACATAAGATATTTTCAAGGAGAGTCTTCAAATATATTATTAATTAAATGGCTATATATATATATATATATATATATATATATATATATATATCCAATATATCTATCATTATTTGTTGGATAGAAATCATTTATAAATAATTAGGGTATGGTTGTTGGCTAATATAAGTTATCACCAGTAAGAGAGAAATGAAAACTGATAACCTGCAAACCTAGCCAACCAGTCATGTTTCCAATGGCAAATTCTGTTTTCTCTTGTGCTGGCAAGAAGATTGACTGGCTTCCTTGTATCAGAGCTGCCCTGCTCTTCAAGGTAATATGAAACACATTGCTGGAAGCAACAGGACATTCTATTGGAAAAATGCACACCCTGGGAGAACACTTGGGAATCACAATAAAATAAAACTTTTTTTTTCTTTAGTAGGTCAGGAGGACCTGAAGGGTTTCAGCTGTAAAGCTGTAAAACTTGTAATGTGTCCAGGACTCCATAAATTTTTTCATCATGAGACCTGGAGCCAGAGGACATTTGATTTAAGCAAAGATTTGGTGACCCCATGGCAGCTGAAAGTAAGAATGCATAGAGAAAAATGTGATAGGCAGTGAGGTTGTATAGAAGAAGGGTTCCAGAATACTGGGCTCTATCTCTATCTGTATGGTAGCTCTTCTTAATTCAGTCCAGATGCTGGCCACATGAATATGAACAAGAAGCTACAAACTATTAGAGATAGCCTACAATAGCATATCTAGTAAAAAACCAAGCTATATATTAATTCTCTGAAACCCACAGAGTACTGCTGAATAGACCATTTAAAGAATAGTCATTTCCCTGGTGGCCTTACAACAGTTAATCTGCATGCTGAAGGTATAGAATTGAATTCCGGCAATACTACGTGTCTTTGAATAGTTTGTAGCATCATCCAACATTCTCCATCCCCCTAGTTACCATCTGCCCATCACCCCTTTGATCCTCTACAAGTACAGTGAAGTCAGCATATTCAAGATTCAGCTTAAGGACACTCAGAAACCCACAATGCCGTATTTTTCCTTTATCGTCTCCATCTTTTTAAATGTTGCTGATAATTACGTTTAGTTAGCATTCAGAATTACTGGGTTTCACTTAGACATTTGTCATTGTGGCTTGTCCATTCTTGTTGACCACTGTTCTTCCCAATCCTCCTCCTCCACTTTTGATAGTTCCCTTCCTCCACCCAAATCATCCTGCTTGTACTTATATGACATAATACGTATATGACTATACATATATGTGTATATTTGAATCTAAAATCTAGACTCTATACATACAGTGTTTTGGTTTTTCTCAACCCCCTTCTATAGATAGAAATTGTATATATAGCCTATCCAAGAAAATCAGAAACCTTTGAATCACCTAGTTTCCCTTTTTCACACAATAAAATTTATTCTGTTTTCATACTATTTCTCAATACTGGTCTTTTTCCATTCTGGCTGCCTTTGTTTTAGTTTAGACCTTTGCATTTCCTTAAGTTAATACTGTAAATACAGAAATTTTTTCCAGTTCAGGTCCCTTATATAATTGGATTCAGAAATGGTTTTCTAGAATTATTTATTCACTTTTCAGAATCCTTTACAGTCCTTCCCCTTTGAGGTTAAGATGTACATTCACAGCACAGCACCTATTATTCTGGTAATCAAGATTCTTGATGTCATTCCATCCTTACTTTTGAGGTGGCCCCTTCTGTTGAGGCTTGAGAGACTGACAAGTCCCCCAGCACTGTCAGAACTCATAGTCTTGGAGAAACATCATGGACTCTACCTAAAATGCTCCTCTCTTTTCCTCTGGCATCTTCTTCACAAATCCCTGTTTCTCCCTTACCATTTCTTTCTTCATCCCAAATATGTTTTTGCCTCCCCACTCATTGTTTCTAGAGAAGGGGTTGTATTGTACTTGGCTTCATATCTCAACATGAGAAAACCATGAAGCATGAGTAAATGCTATAAGAATAAGGAATTTCCACTTCTCATACAGGATCACTGTAAGAATAGCAGGGATGACATTTTATACAGCATGAAATTCAGCTTCAGGAGACTCACCCGAGGTCATACCATGGTAACTTTGGACTACCTTGGACTACTATCATATTTCTTTTCTGCCAGTCCAAAACGTCTCTATTTTTGTGTTTCTCCTAAGAATGTATTTTTCCCTAAGCTTTCATTGGAAAACATCTGGAATTAAATGAATGTAAAATTATTCTAAATGAGATTATGTAAAAAATTTAATGTATTCATACCAATTTGAAAATAAGCCAGGTAATTTAAGAAATATAGAAAAAAATAAAATCACCCTTTCACCAGTGATTCATAATGAAATAAATTTCTGTTTCTTCAATAAAATACCTAAAAGTAAATGATGATCATTTTATAATCTTCCAATTTTAACTTCTAAAATTCATCTCGACCTAGGTTGATTCCAAATTTGACTGCTGTGAATGATGAGGGTATGGGCACAGGAGAACAGATGTCTCCTCAACATCCGCACTTCATGCCCTTTGCTTATACTCCCAGATGGGGATTATTGCATTATACATACTTCTATGGTATTTCTATTTTTACAGCTTCTTGAGAAATTCTTATTCATTTGGTTGAACCAATTTACATTCCCACACTCAGTAAAAAGGCTCCCTTCTTTCTGCATTCTTGCCAACTGTAGCTTTCCTCAGTTGGATAACAGTCATCCTGGCAGGTATAGGACAACAGGTGACTGTGGAGTTCATTGCATTTCTATTATGATCAGTGGTGCTGGGCGTTTGCTTTTAAGTCTGTTGGCCCTTTGCAGTCCCCCTTCTAGGAAGTACCTTTCAGATCATTTGCCTGTTTTATTTTTTTTATTTTAAATATAAATATTTCTAAATATTTATATTTAAAATATATACTTTTAATATTTTTATATTAATCACAGGTTATTTATTTTATATCCCAGCCATAGCCCTCTCCCTCATTTCCTCCCAATCCCACCCTCCTCCCTCCCTCATCTCCTCCCTGCCCCTTTCCAAGTCCACTGATAGGGGAGGACCTCCTCCCCTTCCATCTGACCCTAGCTTATCAGGTATCTTCAGGACTAGCTTCCATGTCCTCTTCTGTGGCCTAGCAAGGCTGTTCCTCCCTGTTTTAATTCAAGTCATTTATTTTCTTGCTATTCAGTTGTGTTTCTAGAGTATTCTGGATATTGGCTACTTATGGTTTATACATAACTCTCATTCTCTGGAATGTTCTCTTGTTACGTTGATTGTTTCCTTTGCTGAATACAATATATTTTTTAATTTAATACAATGTCATGTTTTTACTTTGCTTTTCCTGCTTTTTCTTTTGAGGTTATACACCTCCCCAAATCATTGTGAAGACCAACAACTATCATCAAACTACTCTCAGTGTTTCTTCTAGTATGTTTATAGTTTGGGATCTACATTTCAAATCTTGATTTTTGTGTACGGAAGTATGAGCTGATTTGTGTGTATAATTAGAGATAAAGACCTAATTTATTCTTTGAACTGCAACATCCAAGTTACCAGACAGCATTTATTAAAGAGAATATTTTCTTTCTTATTCTGTGTCCTTGGCAATTTTGTCAAAGTGAAATTGGCCATAAATTCCTGGGTTCATTTGTGGACTCTGTATTCTGTTCCACCAGTTCATGTTTTGTGCCTACACAAGTGCCTTGCTGTTTTGATCACTGGAGCACTGGAGTAGACTTTGAAATCAGGTTGTGTGATGCCTCTAGCTTGGTTGGTTTTGCTCAGGATTGCTTTGTCTACTCAAAAGTTTTCTGTCCTATATGAATTTCTATGAAAAATGTCTTTGGAATTTTGATAAAGACAGCTTTGAATTTGTGGATCACATTGAGTGATGTAGACATTTTAACATTCTTCCAATACATAGGCATGATATTTTTTCCATTCATTTGTGCATTATTCAATTTCTTAGTACAATATTTTACATTTTTTTAGTGTTCCTTAGTTACATTTACTTATCTTGATCCCTAAAGAAGTATGTCTTCCAAAAAAATTTAAACTCCAAACATTGGTCATACAAGCAAATTTGGCAATACTAGTGTGCTATGATGGGTAAGCATTCTAGAATTTACTATGTCCCACTGTTTATTGGCTGTGTGACCTCTTGAATAATGTTTTATCTACTTGAGCCTGTTTACTCCTTCATAAAATAGTAATAAAATAGGATCACTCCAAATGGAGCCCCTGTGGGGGATTAAGTGAGATAATGTGTATAAAAGTAGACAGCATCAAATTGCTTCCTTCTTTTATTTTTGAAATGCTTTAACTCTCAGTTAATCAATCACAGTGCATGCTCTTCTCTGAAGATGGTCACAGGCTAATCAGTTTACTACTGGCATCCCAACAACAATTTGGCAGGTATGACCAACGAAATAAATAGATGTGGAAATGGACTGTCTGTGACATAGATGTGTGAATCCCTGGGGTTAACTAGCTGGATTGTAAACCCTTACCCCTGTGCCCTATGTGTCTGCTCTGAAGCTGCAGACTTGGCAAATGCTAGTCACTGGCTACCCCATGTTCACAGGGAGGAAAAATCATTGTCCAGGGAACCTTGAGAAGAAGAGTGAAGTCAACTGTAAGAAAGAAAAGCAGCCA